AAAAATCAGTTTCGTGGAATGGGAAATCTCCAAATAATGTTAAAACACGCAGTTATCTTTGGGCAGATACTCAATATTTACATCAAAATCTTCAAAATAGAATCCTGTTTATAATCAAAATATCAACTGTTGAAGTAAATTAGTTTGCAGGAAGACATTAAGAATGGAATTAACGATAATTACTTATTAGTTGTTTGTTCTATGTTTTTTTATGACATGAGAAGAGAGAAAAATAATTTTAAGATAAGGATGCTCGTAGAGTAAAATTCTTTTTAATACGTGAGATCAGTTAGAGGGAGAAAATAACAAGGTTAATATTTTTTAATAAAACAACATTTTAAACCAACTTATATAAGGTTTTTGGTTCACCTAAAGGTTCGTCGTTCTCCACCTTTGGCATGGCAATGCAACTTTTGATTCGTGTCAGCCTCTACCTCCATGTCCACAATCTCCAGTGTCGCATATATTAAGCTTTCCATCGTCAACAAGTAAACAATTCGTATGATTATTTATTCGAATTCATAATTAGTCATATTTGTGAGAGTTGGAGTATTTTGTAGGTACACTCCCTATGTTATTCCACCGTTATCACCGCTGAGAGGATAAACATAATTATATGAATTCCAGATCCGACACAATAAATATAATATTAACCTACGTACGTAGCTTAATATATTTTCCCACCAAGTGCTGCATGTTATACTTACACTCGTCAATCCTTTAGTGCATGCATCACGTAAACTCGCTCTTTGTCGGATTGTAGAATATTTAGAAGTTATACGAATCTGCAAAGGTTTATTTACCATTATTAATATTTTTTTTCTGCGTGAATCTTAATAATTGTTATGTATATGCTGCAGATTCATTGAACTGTAAGTAACTTGATTTGAATATGTACTTGTCAATCAAGCAATTTATTTTAACTGTAGATTTTATTGAAACATTAACTACAACTTTTACATCATTAATGATTTAATATATTATATATTTTTTATGAATCAAACTATTAAATTATAATTATATACACTCTCAATTATCTATGCTAAAATTTATTAAAATTAAACGACTATAAAAACATGATTAAACAGTCATTACTTTTATGTATTTCAAAATTATGCATTATCTAAATTTTGATATATATGAATGAAATATAAAATAATATTAAATTGGTCTAAAATGTTATAAATATAGTTTATGCAATTAAAATTTTTAATTTAACAATTAATTTTAGAAATAAAATTTTAAAAAATTATTAAATAATATAAAAATAAATATAACTTACACCGATGTAAGTTAATTACTTCTTTTATATATATCTTTTTATTTTATTATTTTCAACATTATTATAGAAATATTTTGTTTTCCTATAAGAAGTAATGTGTTTCAAAATATAAGCAGTATATTAATGACCAAACAAGAGTAGCATCCAAATATTACTTTTTCCCGATAGAAAAGGTGAGTATAAATATCAAGACGTTAACTTTATATTTGACAACGCATTTTATAAGAAAACTTTTTTTTTATTATTTCTTTTTACAAAATACCTGTTTTTCTAAGATAAGTTAAATCAAGCATGCACGGAGAGTATGGTTGATGGTAAGAATACGAGAACAATGGACAAAACAAAATAGTCAAGTGAGAGTAAAGAGAAGGGAATGTTTTTTTGCTTAAAATTAGTTTATTTGTAAAGTGAAAAAAATAAGAAATAATTGATTTTGGACATTTAATGATTTAGTATTATTATCCGTTTTAAATTAAATGAATAATAATAATTTATAACATTTGTACTAGATAAATAATTTTAAAAAAAGAGCCTTATAAAAAAAAAGCGGATATTTTATAGATTTATTAATTTAAAAATGTGAAGAAGCGGAGGTTAAGAAAATAGAATAATTAGAGCAGAAGCGGACAAAAGAAGCAGCAGTTACGGAGGTCAAATAGATGGTACAGTCACATTTGTGAAAAGAAGAGATGTGACGAATGGGCGGAGGCAACGTGGCAGAGTGTGAACCATTTGTTACAGAGATAGATATGCTCAGCGAGGGTGGCCGACAATACAATGCGACAACTGGTTTCGTGGATTACACCTTCCAACCACCCTTCACTTCGCACCACGTGCCACCGTACTCTCCATCCCTTTTCCTCCCCATTTCAACTCTCTTCCTTTTCTTTCACATCTTCCTAAATAAACAAATCACAACCTTCATCTTCTAAATTCAATTTAAATTATTAGCGTTCAAAATAACAAGATCAATACTAATAAATGTTGCTTGAATTTTTCAATTTTTTTTATTAATAGTTTTTGCTAATATCTTCTTGTATATGATTTTATCATCTTTGCCCTAAGTCCATGAAAATAGTTTCACCCTTTTCTAAATTTTATTTAATAAAAAAGTGTATATATTTTATTTCATGATATTTTCTTTCATCGTGCTTATTTAAAAATCTTATTAATTTATTATTTGTTAGTAAAACTTTCTTTTACTTTTGTATTACTTAATTAGTGTGAATAATTTTTTTTATCGTACTTTATTTTTTTTTAAGACAAAGGAATGTCAATAAAATGTTAATAATTATTGTACTTTTAAACTTTTTTTATTAAAAATATACCTGTACATATAATTTGTATAAAAAACAAAAAAAAAAACGAATATAATTTTACTATTTTTTTTTCATAAAATTTAACATCTTAACTATTAAAGAACACGATTAATCAACAAAATTTTGTTAATGCATGATTCAAAAATAAAAAATGGTATAAAATGATTTATAAGAATAAATTAAACAAATAATCCAATGTTCTGATATTGGGCAATTCACTGACTCTGTATAACACCCAGACAACTCAATATTTTATATAATCCACAATTCAAACAAACTAGTATCCACTACAAAGCAAAACTTCTCACTGCAAGGAAATAAATGTTAAACGTTAACATTGTCTTAATTAATACACCATTTGTTTAATAAAACAATATTAACTAATATCACAAGAGTGTTAGTTTAGAACATCAATCAAATAAAAAAAGATAAAAACAGTACAGTGAGAATATATTAAAAATTACAACACAGTGTGTTATAGTATTTGTTAATAAATATATTTTTTTGCTAATTGTTTATAAATATTTTATACTTTAATTGTTGTTTTAATAATATTTGTAAGTATTTTTAAAAATATTAACGTGAAAATTACCGGATATTAAAAATAGGATGTATCATACTAATATTTAATGTCATAATGGCACATTATTTTTTATATTAAGAAAATTAATTTTTTTAATATATCACGTAATGTTATTAAATGCAAATATTTAATACTTATACTAATGACCAATATCTTAATAAAGAAATTATCCCATTAAAAACTAATTTGATACTAAGTACTACTTTAGTGAATACGACATGATAAAAAAATAATAAAACAGAAAGCTAAATAAAGATGAAATATAATAATAACAAATTACATCATATTACGTTTAATGTAAGTTAAAATACTACAACAGATAACGTATATCGTCTCATTTAATATTTAAGATAAATATAAATAATAAAGTAAAATATAAATTATATTTTAAAAATAATTTATTTAAAAACTATTTTTAATATATTCAATACTGATGGTTGAAATTACAAATAAAGAGAGTTGCTATATTTTAAAGTTTTACATACAGTTGAAGAAGTTTTACGTTTTATCTTGGATAAAAATGTCATGTGTAATTAAAGTGAATTCAATTTAATAAATTTTTTTTTTTGCACTTTTATTTATTTAACGAAGATAGAGGTGGGAGAATTTGATTCAAACGAAAAAGACAATACTATTTTTTTTTAATAAAAGCTTGAAACAGTTATTAACTATGACGATCGCTGTTGATGATTAATTATTTGACTTATATTAAAATCATGTCACAACTTGTAATTTTATTCAATAAATAAATTTTAAGGGTATTTGTTAACGTAAATTTAAAATAACGTTTTATATTTTTCTTAAATCGATAATTGTAATTATTTTAATATTTAAAAAATTTAAAAATATGTATATCTTTTTAAGATGAAATATTTTTTCATATTTATTATAAAAATTTAATATAACATTAATAATAATAATTTTATATATAAAAATATAAAATATCCACTTAATTCTAAAAATACTATAAAAATTACCAAATTTAAAAGATTAGGAATATATATAAAAATAAATAAAATTATATTTATTGATTATATTTTAGTGCATGATTTATAATACGTGCATTATTTAATTAAATGATATACGACAAACAAACGCAGTATTTAATTTATAGTTTTATAATGTACGTATTATTAAACTATTTCACGGTATATTATATACTTATGTCATAAATAAATAATGGATAAACCTTTACTACACTTTTTATTTATTTATTCAAAATACAATGAAAATAAGTTAACAATGATGTCACATTATATTTCACATCATGAAAACATAAAATAGTTATTTCTTAAAATCAAAATCAAGCTATTCTACTATTATTATTTTCATTAAACGAATAAAAAAATATTGTAAATGTTCAAAATTATAATTTATTATTTGAAATATAATTTTCATCTAAATAAAACGTGTATTCTAAAATAATCTTAACTAAACTATTTAAACAATAAATAAAACTATCAAACACTCGTAATGTGTACTATCTTTTAATAAATAAAATAATTATAAAAATAACAGTACACTCACGCTCATAATGTGTACTATCTTTCAATAAATTTTTTAATAAAAGTGATTTATTTATAATTAGTATTCGTAGAAAACTAATTAGCAGGAATTTAATTTTGAAGAGAAAAATAAAAAAAAAATGAAGCAACAAATTGAATATCCAGCAAGGTGGCAATAATAAAGGGAAGAGTTGGGAGAAAGAGGTAGGGATATTTTGGTATATTTAAAGAAATTGGGGGGTTTGGCTGCGAAAGTAGTTATGAGTATGTTAAAGGGCTGGTTGGGTCAATTCACTCAAAATCCAAAACCAAAACATTAGAAAATGGAAGATAGTGAAGTACGTTGGAGAAGGAAGGGATATTTGTCAGTCACACTCCTCAATTTCTAATTCCAGCGCTCTCTCTCTCTCTCTCTCTGTCCTTCGTTCTTCTCCACACTCTTCACACAGCACATGTTACTAACTTCTTAACACACTGACACAAACACCAGTCTCAGGTGCTCTTCACTCATCTCATATCATCATTCTCAACACACGCAAACCAACAGTTTCAATGCAGGAAATACATTCCATCGGAGGACCCACCTTTTTCGCCGCACCCGGAGACAGAAGGCTAAGACCCCACCACCACAACCACAACCACAACCACAACCACCAAGCCTTGAAGTGTCCACGCTGCGACTCTCTCAACACTAAGTTCTGTTACTACAACAACTACAACCTCTCCCAACCCCGCCACTTCTGCAAAAACTGCCGCCGCTATTGGACCAAAGGCGGCGTCCTCCGCAACGTCCCCGTCGGCGGAGGTTGCCGTAAATCCAAACGGGCAAACAAGATCTCCAAAAATTTAACCTCCTCCGATACCCCCGCCGCGACGACCACCGCGCCGCCGGCCGAGCCGGAGCTCAAGTCCAACTCTCATTCAAGCAGCGAGAGTTCAAGCCTCACCGCCGCGCCCACCGCGACGGAGGCGGTGTCGGCGCCGTCAACGTTGAAGACTGATTCCAACAATAGCATTCAAGAGTCGAAGTTGTTGATCCCTGTGGAGCCTGTTTTGGAACAGGGTTCTCTGGAACAAGGAACAGGGGACTGTGGTGGGATTTTCTCCGAGATTGGAACCTTTACGAGCTTGATCACTTCTGCTAACGAGGCATTGGCGTTTGGGTTCGGTAACGGTGTTCCTGATGCGTCATCGTTTCAGTGGCAGCAGCAGAAGGTGATGAGCATCAGTGGGGAGCCTCATCCACATGAAGAGGATTTGAAGTTGCCGGAGAGTCTCGCTGGTGGCTCTTTGCTTGATCATAGCGTTGATTTGTCGGGGTTGCACGGTAAGAGCGCTCACGGAGGATTTGGATCGCTGGATTGGAACGGCGGTGCAGATCAAGGTTTGTTTGATCTTCCTAACACCGTTGATCACGCTTACTGGAGTCACACTCACTGGTCTGACCAGGACAATTCTACTCTCTTTCATCTTCCCTGAAATGCCCTCAAACTTTCTCACCTTTTTTTTTTATAAATTTCTTATGAAATTAACTTTAAAGAAGATCAAAGAAAATTTGAAATCTAAGCCAAAGCAAAAAAAGAAAAAATGGGAAAGAGAAGGTGGAAGGGCTTGGTATAATTAATCAAGAGGTGTATATTGTTTTTTTTTTTTTAATTTATAAATTTGGGGGGTGATTGAGCTTGATTTTAATTAGTGATGTGCATGCACAACTAACATTCATGTTAGTTTCTATCTGATATTTCTTTTGTCTTCCGAGTTCCCGTTTTAATATATGTATGTGGAATTTGATTGATTAACAGAGAAAATATAGCAGTGTTTTAATATCGATCCATGATTGTTTATTTGGTCGGTTATTTAGGTTTGTAATCTTATTTTGCTTTATTGTGAGACATTAATATATACTCCCTCCATATTACTAACTAAGCGGGCATGATTATGGCAAAACGTATTATTATGTAATGGATTAAACAAGAAGAAGCTGTGGCGATGCGCTGAGGTAATGAGAAGACATATAATTGCTTGTGTTAAATTTAATTTAGTTGAATTTTAGAGGGAGTTTGAAAGTAAGAAAATTGGGAGGGAGAGGGTAGGTTGGGAAATGGGGAGTGGGGCTTACATAGTACAGTGACCTCTTGCATGCGCGATGATGAGTAGTAGGCGTGCGGAGAGGGTAAGGTTGTGAATGCAAAGGGGAGACACGTGGGTTAGTGTGACAAGACAACAATGTGATGTGAAGAGCCTGTTAGGTTTCTGTTGTCTTCTGGTTATGCCTTATTATTCTGGGCCTTTCTTGTTTATGCCATAGTCATTTAGCTAATAACCTATCATAAGGGCGAGCATGGAGTGGTGGTGGCGAAGATTTAGCAATCGCATTGATAGTGGAGCATCAACTCAACTGTTGTTATTTGGATTGCGTCGGTCTTGATCAGAAACCAGGAACAGTTGAATTGTGGGACGGTGGTGGTTGTTATTGTCTTCTTGATGATGCCAGGTGGGTGGGTCCCTTAAAGCCATTTGCAAGCGTGACTCGGAACACACCGTAACCGTGGCATGATATTCAAACATCACAGTTTCCGTTCGAATCTTGTTCACACTAGCTCATCGTGTTTCTCGTACGCATAACACCTAGTAAAATATATTAAGGCATGATTGCTTTGCTACTTAGGAATATCCCACTAAAATTACGTCGACAAAGCCAAATTAACAAATTGTGTATTAAAATTGATGTTATTGGGGCTAGAGGGAGTCATTGTCAGGACGGTGTGGTACAGTGTTACATGCACTTTGCAAGTTGCAACCTGACTCGAACAATTAACAGTTTGAAGTTATTAATTATTGCTGTCCGAAAGTCACCGTGAAATGATGCAAGGGGGTTGATCATTACAATTAATAGCGAAACGACCGACCAATTTGCCTGTATCTACACATTCAACGTCAATGTCGTGTTGTGGATGGTGTGAGTTAAATTTAGTATATATAGGAGTGGTAATAAACTTAACACGTACGTAGGAGGGGAACTGGGAGCAAAGGGATGGGCAAATGTATGATAATATGGGAAGCAATTGTTACGGGGTGTGCAGAGTGAGCCCATATTGTTGCCAAAAATGGTGAGCGAAAGATGGACTAAGACTAGGGACAACTGGTACATGGCGTGGCCTTTTAATGTGACAGAGCAGCGTGGATTACGACTGCACCCATGTTAGGGCCTCAGAACTAGGCACATGGTTTTCGTGGTCCATCTGTGTTGTCATAGGTGCCCCTATTCAACCTTGACGTCTGAACTTGTGCATCCTCAACATTATTGCATGCTTACGCCCACTTATCACACTCCAACTAATATTATTATATTCGACAGGGGAACTGAGTCGGAGTGAGTATATTACAAGACTCTATGTGTACAACTCTGGCGATGATGTTAATGTTCATTCTTTGATATTCTGCCAACATATTTGCCACGATCTTTGCCCTTTATATTAGTTACGTACCATTGCTCCTGCTTCTTTAGATGGATGTATCTGTGCTCTCCTTAATACCAATCAAGGAATGTTTTTACTCCACTGGAGTGCCATCATTTGGACTTGGACGAGGTTTTTATCTACTCCGGCCTCAACTGCAAATCCATATTCAGCAGAATCATCAAAGTCAAATGTTATTAATGCTCTAGTTGCTTCACCCTGTTGAGTATATATGCCTATGGTGTTGTATGGACTCTTACAATATATGCGTATTCTAAGTTAGGAACTAGAGTTTTTAAGTACTGCCCATCAATTGTGGTATGAAGACATGGATTTTATACGATGTGTATCAAGTGAAGGTATTCAGAGAATTTGTAAGCATATTTACTTCTGGCAGGGCACATGCTGATATACATCGATTTCAATTTCATGGATTACTTGGATACCCATTGGTGACTTAGACTAAGCATACATAACACTTAATGCAGACACAGCAAACGACTTCTCTATCTTTAAATAAATGGATGTGGGGCTAGTATTTGATCTCTTTTTTCCAAGTATAAAATATCTCTAAAATCCATATCTTGTTTTGGAGAGAGAAAATATCTTTTCAATTGGCTGTTTGCAAGAAAGAGTGGGGGGGAAAAAGTTGCACGACGAGCTCCAACCACATGCACAATTCTAACATGTACAGACCAGAGCATATCTATAAACTAGAGTAATAAGTATTGTATTTGTAATGGAAAAATAATTTATATGACCACTAGCACCCTATGATACCATGAAAATGAAACAAGGCACTGCAAAATTTTCTGCATGTCATACACTATACAAAAGATGTCCAGAGCAAAAGGATTATTGATTAGTGCACTCAAGAAAATGAAAGAAAGGATTGTCTAAATAGGGATCAGATCTCCGCATATTCAAAATCGAACATGAGAGTCATGTTGGTGTATTTTTATAATTTTGTTTAAGCGAAATTTTTTTCGCTCAAGCTTAAGCAAACTTACAAAAATACACCAACCCTATCTTCGGTTTTGAACATTAGAGATTTTTTTCCGTCTAAATAGCACACTGTTAATTGTTACTCCACTTCTTGAAAAAGATAGATACGTAAGGTTATAGAGTATTTGTTTGCACAAACGTTCTCAGTCTCTCTCTCGCACCCACTGAGATCGAGTCACATTCGCACTCAAGTATGATCAAGGCATGCTCTGAAGTACGATTTTTTTTTATTGGGAAACGATAAGAAACTTGAGAGATAATTGGAAAAACAAGGAAGAGACTTTGGAAGCTTTAATAGGATATTGTACATAAATTTGATTTCATTTAGCAAAAATAAAAGCAAGTCATGCGAAAAAAACTTGGTAATATGACTCGTTTCGACGCGCATTGACGAGTCAATGCAGGTTGACACATCGAGTCATTTTTAAAATTTAAAATAATTAAATAATCTTATTTATTTATTAACCATTACTAATTTAAATTTAGTTATTTTATATTATTTTTATGCGAACCGTTTTTAAATTTTTTTAACGGGCCAACCTGTTCTTCAAGCTTAAATAGGCCGAGCTAATATTTTGGCCCATTTTCAAAAATAAACTAACCCACGTTAATACAAATTATGTGCAAGTTGAGATAAGCCAACCTTATTTATTTATTTATTTTACTACCCCTAAATTGATATCTTTCAACAAATTCAATTGTCATCAGCATTTTATATTAACGAAGAAAAATATAAAAAGCCAATTGTAATCTACCTATCAACCCCAATTCCCAAATCAATGGATTCTAATTCCCTCTCCGTTTTTTAATGCTTCTCCCTCCATCTACTTCTAAACTCAAGAAAATGTTACAAATTCAAAAGATACTTCTAAATTTAAAAAAAGAGCGATGCACTTCATAATTTTTAGCGAACTATGTTCCATTGAAAGAATAAAATCCCACTTAATATATATATATATATAATAAATTAAAATGCTTATAGTCCTTAGACGTAGTTGAAGGGTCACCACAGTTTGGTGTTCCAAACAAGCCAGCAGTCGTTCACCTACACTCTAGTCTACAATGTTACTTACGTTATTTTGTGTTGTGGAGTCTAGCATGTCATAACAAGATGAAGTGAAATTAGAAAGGGGTTATATCAGTTTTTATTTTATTATGTTATCTATGTTATCATAAGCTTTTTTCTTTCTATTTTTTTTTCTTTTAAACGAAATGTTGTAAAAAGAAAATACAATTATCTACTTCTCATTAAAATTTACTTTGTTAATTAATATACTACCTTAATTTTTGTCACTTTTTAAGAAAAAATATTTTTATTTATCGATCACTTTTAAAAATTTAAAATGGAATTAGTAAATTTTAATATTACCCTTAAATTAAAATACATAAAAATAAATAAATAAATATAATAAAAACTATAAAATATTTTTAATAAAAATAAAAACATTAAACGTTAAAACAACAAGCAGAAGAAATGTTCAGTTGACGAATGGAAGACGGAGGGGCAGGGGCGTCATTTTCGAAGTTCGTGACCGAATAGGATATCCGTTGGTTTGTCTGCAAACGGGAATCCATTTTCAAAGTGCAGTCACTTCTGAGTCTCTCTCTCTCTCTCTCTCTCTCTCTCTAACTTTCTCTCTCCTCCGCCAGCAAAACACTTGGCTCTGCTTCTCTCTCCGATCCTCCGGCGAGGAAGCAAAATGCAGCATTTTGTGGATTTGCAAGAGAACTCGGAGTTCGGTGACCCGGATTCATGGCTTTCAGCGCAAGACCACTCCGTATCGTCGCTTGCTAACGCCTCCGCCACTGCATCGGCACCCAATGCCAATTTGGATCGCGTTCTCTTCAACGACCTCGTCGAGATTGTCCCTCTCGTTCAGTCACTCATCGTAATCCCTTTCCCTCTTTTCTCCACTTTTCCTTTACTCAACTCTTCTTTCATCCAAATTGAAGGTAACTGAAACAAATTTCTCAAAAAATAGGTAACTATAATGATTTTATGTGGAAGAATAAAAGGAAACAAGTTTGAAATAATGTAATTTGGACTTTACTGTATTTGCTTGTGTGTTGTGAATATACTGAATGCTAGTGAGTGACTTTTGAAACCAAAGCACGTTATAATTTTTCCCTTTTTATCATACGGTGATCCTGTGACAAGTGGTGCTCTTAATTGTGAATTTAATTAACTTAATTATGTGGTTTAATTATGATTAGGATCGCAAGGCAAGCCGTTCATTTACCCGTCGTGGTTCCATGATCTACACCAAGACACCTACAAGAGAATCATTGTCTAGAAGAGTAAGACCGGGGTGCTTTTTCCCCCTTTTGTGATTTGAATTTTCTCGAATCTTTTTCAAACTGTTCATTACTGTTAGGTTTACTGTAATGTTCATAAATCTTGCTCAATATGTTGAATCGTGCAAGCAATTAAGGATTTCCTTCAATTTGATATAATTTGCAAGTATATGAGATTCTCTAGTGTGGTATTTGGAGCGATGCAGTCTCTTTTCGTTGTTTTCCTCTTTCTCTTTGAACTCTCAGTTGAATCAGTAAGACTTGGGTTTTTAAAATAGGGTTGAAATGCACCTAATTTTGAGTCTCTGATATTAATATAAGTATCCTTGTGCGGTATAATTTTTCCTATTGTGATTTTGCTTATGAGTGGTAGCCAAATATGAAAAATTGTGGAACAAAGGTATTTCCTTGTCAAGCTCGGATACCATAAAAACCCCTGCATATTTCTGTCATACCACATTGAATACTTTCTTTTGCTCCTTTAATGCATGTTATGCTACATATGTGTCCATTATCATAAATTAATACCTAGTCACAGTTACTTGGGGAAACTATTAGTTTATATCATAGCTTATGTTGTAAATGACATTTTGTGAGGGACACATAACTTTTTTATGCTTTGTTTTGTCTCTTCAATCACTTGATTAGAAATAATAATGTTAGTACTGGACTCATGGTGATATACGGGGCATGGAATATGAAATATATTAGATTTTCAATTTTGTGTCTTGTGGAAAATATTACTGCATTGATGACTATCCTTTTTCTTTTTACCCTAATAACAATCTCAAGAATATTTTCATGTGTATTACCTTTTGCATACTTTATCACTTGATTAAAACACTTTGTTTGAATAGTAATCTCCCCAGCCACCCTTTTTATTTTGGTGAATCCATGAGGTATCCCTATTGGTTGTTTGGCCTTTTAAAATTGACCATGAGACTAATCCCTGTTTGACCATGGGAGCACAAAGGTTATGCTGCTTCCTTAAGAAGTTGAGATTCAAACTTATGTTCTCGTTTCATGTGGTTGAGAGACTGCATACCACCTTTGCTCTCTCATTGTGGGTTGAACCATTGAACAATAAAGTTCTTTAATTTAGACTGAAAAACGCTCAGCATGATGGTTTGCAGAAAGTTTTCTTTGTTTATAATGTGATTTTCCAATGTTATCTAACATTAGTGAAGGATTGCTAGGCCATTGGTATGATTCTGGAGGTGTAATGTTTTGTTATTCCAACCTGGAGTTTATCTGACTGACCATATAGTGTCTGTAACTTGTAGTGCAAGTACTCCGTACTTCAGTCCTACTTCCAGATGTTGAAGTTCAATTTTATTAATATCTGTATCTGTGTATCACTTTCTTGCCCAAAATTGGACTTTCTTATTATTATTGTGATAATATCTTCATTTTTTTCCCCTTTTTCTCCTTTGTCCTTCAAATGGCAATCTGTAACTATTCTTTCAAAAAAATAATTTCCCATGTAACTTAAATTTTCTGTGTTCAAATCGTTATGCCTGACATTTACATCCTCTGGTAGGCAACGGATTCCAAAAGTAGGAATGTTGCTCAATCTATTCCTGCCAAAAAGAAAAGGGACCATGGAGAAAAAGAGCAAGGAAAAAATGGTAGCAATGATGCTGATAGCTATTCTATGCTTTCATCAAGAGATTTGCCATCAGAAAAGGACAGAGAAGAGTTAGCTATATTTAAGGAGCAGGTAGAAGAACTTCAGAGGAAATTGTTAGAGAAAGATGAACTTTTGAAGTCAGCAGAAAACTCAAGAGACCAAGTGAATACTTTTAATGTAAAACTTGACGAACTGAAACACCAGGCTTCGGAAAAGGACACTTTACTGAAGTATACTCAACAGCAGCTCTCTGATGCTAAGGTACTGATTTACATTTTTCTTCATTAATAATTTTAGGAGTTTCTAAATCATTTACAATGTGAGCAGCATTCATCTCTTTCAATTAGCAATACCTATTCACTAAATACATACGCATCAGATGTCTCTGGAACATGATGCGCATGGCGTTTGATTGTTGTTAAAAGTTGGATTCTAAAGTTCTAGTGTATTTAAAAAGGTGCATGCTTAGAGAATGTTAGAAGGCTTTGTAATTGTAAATAGTTTAACTCTGTCAGTTTTCTTCTAGTTTGATTCTACTCAAGACTAGTGTTATTTTAGAAATTAGGGTAAAAAATTTGATGTGTTGCCCCGCTGAAATTGTTCCATTAGTTTTTTGGGATTTTATGAAGCCTTAATCAGAATGTGTTGAAATTATAATGTTGCATCCAGAATTCCAGATCTTATTGTGCTTTGTCCAATCTTAGGTTCTGATAAATAATATAGGGGGAGAAAATGCTCATTTCCTTTGGGGGGAAGTTTTAAATTTTAAATTAGTTCTTCTCAGACATTAACAGATCTCCTTTTCTACAGATAAAGCTTGCAGACAAGCAAGCTGCTCTTGAAAAGATACAATGGGAAGCAATGACATCCAACAAGAAAGTAGAGAAACTCCAAGACGAGCTAGATTCCATGCAAGCAGATATTTCTTCATTCACGTTATTACTTGAAGGATTGACAAAATCTGATACTTCTAAATATGCTGATGATTATGACATCAAGCCATATGATTTCAGTCACCTGCCTAGTATTATTGTAAGTTTATACGAATATTATTCAAATCAATGTGTGCAGCATATTTTTTATTTTGCTGCTTTATTTGGTGACAATTTCAACACAACACTATGATTTGGATTGTGTTCCTGGTTCAAGATACATGAATATCTTGTTTACCAATGCGCATGGCTTCCACTTCTGCATGCATGCAAATTCAGTTATTTAGCATTTGGGGATTCTATTCATACATCTTATAACTTTCTCTTAGTAGTAGCGGGTATCTGGTAAGATGTGCATCATGGAACGGCATATCACACTATACTTGTCTGATTAAAGGAGATCTTTGCTTTTAAGAATAGAATTGTGTCAGTATGCTGTAATACTTAATCCTTGAATGTTGACCTTCCCAATTAATCATCATTTTGAACAGGATAATTTGGACGAGATGGAATTGCAGAAAATGGAAGAAGCAAGAAAAGCTTATATTGCTGCAGTTGCTATTACCAAGGAAAAACGAGACGAGGAATCTATTACTGCTGCTGCCAATGCTCGGTTACATCTTCAGTCCTTTATTTTCAAATCTAAAAATTTTAACCTGTAAATCACTTGTTTTATTCAACGTGTTTACACTTTAGGGGCCCCTTTAGTCAAAATGGTAAAGCGCTTATCCTGTGTGTGAAGATTTGATTGATTTACATGTCTGTTTATGAACAAATATGTAAGTTTATGCCATTTTACGTGAAAAAGTGAAAAACTAGAGCATGTTCAATGCGTTCTCGCGAATTATATCAGACCTGTGCATCGGGTTTTGAAAAGGAGAAGAGTCAATTATGGTCTGAGGAGTATTAGTTTCCCTTTGAAGTGGCATTCAGCAAATTCTCTGGTAGCGGCTGATTCTGATTGGCAGTGTTATCATGTTGTACACCGCCGTTATTGTTCACACCAGCAAATCGTTACTGTTACGGCTGACTCTTCAAAAATACACGTGTGCACTTGCACGTGCGCTACCCCTAACACCCAGGGTGCCTTCCAGTTCCCTACTTCCGTATATGGTCCACATATTGTACCGACAAGGTGGATCTTGTACCATTTATGATACACGTTTTATGATGTGGGCAGGGTATATTTGTGCTTGTACAAATTCGAATAAGAAGTTGAAAAACCTATTCTTTAGTTGATAATATTATTTTTCTCTAATGAAAGAAATTAAATGCAACCTTGAAATATATGCACACCCTACATTTAAGCTGGGCACCTCATGTATAACGTGTGCGGGCATAGTAAACACTCGTGTAATATGGGCAATACAAGCTTAACTGGCATAAGCCCTTTCTTATGATCTTAAAAACATTGCTCATCTACCTACCAAACTCATTTAACAACAGTTATCATGCCTAATACAGTTTTGCTCTCCTTGTTGCGGTATTGCCCATGACTTGACTATGTGAATTACATAAAGTGTAGTCCCTCTGCCAAAATTAGTGAATGTGCCTATGATGTTTCTAATTCTGCCTATACCTATGGGGCTCACCAAGATCAATTACTATTATTGTCATCCTTGGTTCTTGTAAACACAACGGTCATGTACCTTGCTGATACCTCGGCTGAAGCATTATTTAAACTCAACAAGCCAAAAAAACAAAATAAACTCAACTAAGCCTTCGCCAAAACTTGATTTTGTCTAAGCTTCCATTCCTGAAGTCGTGAACGCAGATTGGGGTAACATCAAAATAATTTTCCTTAAGTGCCATTCATTTGCTTTGCGCCACTTAAATTTATTTTATACTAGAAAGTTAAACAGTCCTCCACTCCAATGAATACCTGTACTCGTGTGTTTTACTCGATCGTGAATTATATTCAAAATTTTCAAGTAGTATATTATATAGAGAATTTAATCATTCTAAGCTATTTCGCCAAAACTTAACTCGTAGCAGGAGTAACTGTGCATTCTTGTGATTTACTGAGTCTTACATGGTATGGTACTTAGTACACTCACTCTAGTTTAAATACCTGAAACATGGCTTAATATAAGTTTATCCTTCAAGCTTAAGGAAGGACAATGAATATATCACGTATGAAACAGTTATACCGGTTATAACTTACACCCTCTTTAATCCCTAAAATGACAATTACAATCTTTTAAACTCTTCAAATAGCCGTTTCCCAACATTTTAGCCCCCAAATTAATTTGAGATGGCAAAATCATAATGTCACCCATTAATAGACTATCATAAAGTTAATGTTAGAGATGTATGAAGGGGGCATCTTCACCTACTAGGGATTCCTTGATTTTGGCGTATGGTCAAGTACCTGATCATTAACTCTTACTTTCAAAATGAAATTCTTCTTTTCTTTTTTCAGTTCTTGTTAAATAGTTGTACTTTCTAATTCTGTAGTGTGTATATTTTGTGTTTTTTTATTTATAAATAAAATCAGTGAGTTGGAAAATTTTTACTTCGTAGTATACTTATCTGCACTGTGTTTTTGTATATTTACGTTTTACATTTGGAGAAAATATGTAAAAAAATTTGGAATCATAAATTTTTTTAAAAAAGAATGCAAAAGTACCCGTTAGTGTCATATCTATGGAATTAAATTTCTGCACTTTATAGTATTTTGAATTTGAAAAGAAAATTTCTGCCATAAAGAAAAATAAAGGAGGATTGAAATGAGTTAATGGTAATGATAATTGAAACAAAGATATAAATGGTAATGTAAGTACTAAATTTTTCAAGCAAACTAAAGATGAAAAGGAAACAATCTCTGAACAATATTTATTAGTCTTGACTTATTATTCTGTATTCAAGAATGGCATTCCTAGCTAACAACTATCTGGACAAAAGAATTCACTCTTGGGGAGTAAAAAAATAAGAAAGAAGAGAATGTGCAGGCATCAGAATCTAAAGCACTGAAGAGGCACAAATCGGGCCTTATGCTTCTTTAGATGCAAACCTTCTGACTTAGGCATTTGTACAGGGCTTCCAATCCATTCCCAAACCAACCTGCATTTTTTAAAAAACAAACCACCCAGTCCTTGACAACATTAGACAAGGACTCCCTTCCACATGGACCCTTGATATTATTTAACAGCACACTTCAATGAAAAAGTAAATGTTAAATATATTGATTAAAGAATTTGAAAAATGTAACATGGTTTTCAATAAAAAAATTATATTTGTTGGTGAAAAATGTTATATCCTCTTGCTACTTCAGCCTACAAGTTGTCTTACGAAAAATATTAACTTTTTTCTCTTTAGAGACACGCATCAATTTTATATGAATAGAAAAATCTGTAGGCTAAAATAGTATAAAGATATAACATTTCTCTTTCTTAATTCCTTAACCAACGTCCTAAAGGTACAAGTTAACAAGAGATTAATGAAAATACCAATCAAAATTAATCACTAACATGTTTAACTTACACGGGGAATGCAAAAGAACCTCTACTTCCTTCTTCAGATTCCCTTGATTCTGCAGACACCATCCTATGGTTTTCAATTCCTAAAACATGGCATGCCCTTCTTATGCTGTCCCTATGCTGCTGTGTGCTACTCGTGTGTGCCATCTCTTCTTTCTCTTCTTGCAAGGAAAGGTCAGGGTGGTGACAATGCACCTCTTTATAAGGGGCTACACAATCTTGATCTTGTTGATGATCACTATGGTGCTGATTTGCATGTGATCTCTTCTCATGAATGTTTAAGTCACTATCTTGTTCATCCTCACTATATTCCAACTGCTTTTCAGTCACATAAAGTAACAAAAAAATAATCCAATTTAGACAGTGAAATTTATCTAATAAACAAGCTTTCATGAAGAAACGGAAATGATAAGTACCTTACGATTCAGAGGCCTTGAATTTTTATGCATTCTATCGAGACCCTCAAACTTGACACCTTTGTTATCATTCACTACATCAAGTGCTCCATCCTCTCCAAAGCAGAACACTATATAATTTTCATCTGCGGAGAGTGACCAACTTGAATGGTTAAACCTGTTTGCAATTGGAACCCCATCATCTTTATCCTTTATTATTATTGGAGTGTTTAACTGTCTCTTGTTGTTGCATTTTTTGCATGGCCTTGACAAATTGTTGTTACATATACTATTAAAGCCTTGCTCGTTTTTCTTGTCAAATGCCACGTGAGGGGATGAAGTCAGTTCATGATCATCTACAAAGAGTTAAGAAAATCATGTGAGAATATGACATGGGATTGGTCATTAAAAGTGAAAAAAAGTGCTTTTTCTGATGTTCTCAAAATGTAAAGCTAGCAAATACTAATGAAGAAAAAATGAAAAGAAATTAGGCTTATCACTTGTGTAGATTTACCTAAGGGTAGCCTGCAAACAGAGAAACACGAAGCCCAGTCTCTAACACTCCATCTGACAAGCCATGCCATTGTGCTCATCTTTGTATGCTTTATTTGGCTTGGTCCCTTTGTTCTTTGTTAGGACACAGCTACAGAGAAAGGTTAAGTGATTCATTGGCACAGATTAAAAGAGGGGAATTTGGAAAGGCTCATTTAATACCAAGGGAGTTACAATATTCAACCCACAATGAGTAATGACTCGGGGTGAGAAATTTGTCACAAAAACCAGCTGCCTTTTTATTTGCCTATTGAAATTGAAAACAAAACTTAAAAAGGGCATTAATGCCATTACCATAAATTTACATAAATTACGGGTAAGGGTCTCATAATTTGGGTCTTAAATTCCGATTTGAATGCCCGTTTAGTAATAAATAATGAAATATGGTCTTATTTTTACAATTATTTTAATTTCATTGTGCGTTCGAATAAATGGTAAGCATATCACTGAGTATGTTGATTAGTTGAGAGGAATTGTTTTGATTTAACTTGTAATCTGGAGTTCAAGTTATAGTAAATACAATTATAGTAAATATTTAGAAAAAAAAATCACCTATAATGATCCTATCCAATTTGAATATAATTACTTTTAGCAGAAGATACCTGTTATGTAGAAAAAAAATATAAATATATAATTTTATAAATCCCTTACTAAATTATGTTATTTTGTAATAAATATATTGTGTTAAATACTTAAATGAAATTTTTTTTACTCATAATATTTTTGTAATGTAGGAAAAAAAACATAAATATTTAATTTATAGTTTTATGACTTCACATCCTTTACCAGATTATGTTATTTTGTATTTTTTAGACTATAAAATATTATTTAGAATATTTTTCATAAGTATTTAAAAGTTGCTAATTCTTTTAGCCGTAGTTGATAAAAAATATGACTAAAAGAGTTAAATTATATCTTTTATCTTAAAGTGAAAAAAACTTGAGAAATATTTATAATATATTTTTTTAAAGTGTTTTTATAAACAATTAATTTTTAAAAATAAATAATTCACAAATCATATAGTACATAAATATATGTATAAATATTGAGATTTTCATGCCTAGTAAAGAGTTTCTAAACACATCTATTGACATGAAGGAGTAATGTTTGTAAGTGGTGTGGTTCGGTATCTTGACAATTGTGTTTTTATTTTTTTAAGTATCTTTAACTAGAAACAATTTTGTTCAATGTATTTCAATTCTATTTATAAGAAATAATTATTAATATTTTTTTATCTTAATTAGGAAAAGTAAAAATATATTTTAAATATATTAATTATTAAATCCATTTTATATTATTATCTATCATAAAACTTATATTAGTGAGATATTGATATTTTATCTATTTAAGTAGATATACCTATTTATTTAATATATACGAAATAAATTAATAATATAAATATTTTTAAAATAAAATGTAAATTTATAATATATAATTACGTTTTATTAATTTTAATAAATTAAATATTTATTTCTCATAAATAACCCATATTTTAGTACGCTGAAGCAAACTTATGGATTTATTTGGATCACACTTAGAAAAGAAAAATCTCATCTGAATTACTTAGTTTCAAGTGAATGATAAAAAAGAAAAAAAGGGCAAAATGGAGAGCAAGCACAGGGATTATTGTGTTGAGTAGGATTGGAGGGTAGTGTTGATGTTGCATTGTTGCTGCTGCAGCTCTCTGTTTTTATCTTTTTCTATTTCCACTTCCAATTCCACCCACCACATCATCAAATCTTTGGTCCAGAATTTAAATATCATTCCATATATTATTTGCCTTTAATAATGTAGAGTTTTTATTTGAAAGTATACATTCTTTATAAAAAATAATTTTATTTGAGTTCAAAATATGAAATTAGTTATTCTAACAGTTTTTTCATATACAAAATTCAAACTTATTTTCTTATTTAAAAAAACAAACATATATTATTTAAATTAATTATTCATTGATACTTTAATGATTTAAATATGTATATTTATTTTTTAAATGATTTCTTATTTTTAACATCTTAAATAATAATAAAAAAAACAATTATTTTCCTTAAAATAATGATAATAACCAAACAAAAACAGAATCCAGAAAGAATCCAAATCTGCAATCAAGCTAATAATGAAAGGGACAGGCAAAATATCTGAAACTCATTTTTTTACATTATTCGTTTAATATATATTTTTTAATATTGGTTAAAATTTATAAAAATTATAAAAATTATAAAAATATAAAAAATTACTAAATTTAAAATATAATTTGCATATTTTTTTATTTTTAATAAATTTTAATTTATTACATTTTAATATATTGAATAATGTTAAGGTTAAATATTTTAAATATGAAAGTTGATAAAACAATACATAGAAATATGAAATTTTGAGGTAAAGATAAAACAGTTGAATTAGAAAAAAAGAAGAAGATAAAACAGTTGAAATTATAAAAAATTTAAAATATTAAAATTGTCATCCACAATTCTTTAAAAACATTATAAATTATTTTAGAGTTTTATAGTACTTTTTTATATTTCCTAATTTTTTTCTAAAATTTTATTTTAATATTAATATTTTTTTTCATATTAAATAAAAAAGCCTAATGTTTGTGCCATTGGGTATGGAAAGTATGGGAGTGGATGGGTGACAGTGAGAGAGTTGAATTGAGGGTTTGTTGCCATTTGAGTTGGTGTTACTGATACACAACACCCATTTCTAGAGAGAGATGGGTTGGGCCATAGCTCTGCACGGCGGCGCCGGCGATATTCCCCGTTCGCTGCCACCGGAACGCCGTGAACCCCGCGAGGAAGCCCTCCGCCACTGCCTCCAAATGGGCGTGGAAGCTCTGAAAGCCAAAGTGGCTCCTGTGGACGTGGTTGAGATTGTGGTACGTATATGTGATTCCTAACACTATATACTGAGAATTCTGACTTATATTTCATCGCAGGTTCGCGAGTTGGAGAACATTCCGCACTTCAACGCGGGAAGAGGTTCCGTTCTGACCTCGAACGGCACCGTTGAAATGGAAGCTTCTATAATGGACGGCACCACCATGAACTGTGGAGCTGTTTCTGGCCTTACTACGGTTCTCAACGCCGTTTCTTTGGCTCGACTGGTTATGGAGAAAACTCCTCACATTTATTTAGCATTTGAGGGAGCAGAGGAATTTGCAAGAGAACAAGTCTTTCTCATCCTTTTCATCTCTTTCGTTAACTTTTTTTATTTCTACGTGCATCCCACATTATAATACATGTTTTTTCTATAGGGTGTTCAAACTGCAGATTCAAGCCATTTTATTACTGCAGAAAATATTGAAAGGCTTAAACAGGCAAAAGAAGCCAATAGGGTCCAGGTACGTTTTATTCTTTGCCCAACTTCTGCACGCCCGTTTCATTAGGCTTTGTTCAGATGTTTTCTATGGAAGAAGAGTATGCCCACTTTTAAATTTTTTTATAAAACTTAAACAAACTTTATTCTATTAAAATTAAGTAAGTTTAATTTTTTAGTATAATATCAGAATCTATTCAATTTGAACGTTGAGTCATCTGCAAAAGTTAAAATATTAGTGCCTAGTCAGTCTGCAAAATTAATGTATCAAATGTTCAAGCCTGAGTGAAGTGTGTTAAACTATGACTAAAATATTTGTTTATAAAACTTCAACATATCTTACCTTATGATATGAATTAGTTTTTGTGAGCGAGTTAAACCAAGCTTTGTAATTGGCTTGACCATATATGTCTTATGTGAAATTCTTTTTATTTCCTCCTAAGATGTTGATAACTATTGTTTTTCACTAATGTATAGATTGACTATACCCAACCCATAAAAAATGATACTAAGAAGGAAGCAGCGATTGCTAATGGTGATAGTCAAATTGGAACTGTTGGGTGTGTGGCAGTTGACGAGCATGGAAATCTAGCTTCTGCAACATCTACTGGTGGATTAGTGAACAAAATGGTTGGTCGAATTGGTGACACGCCCGTAATTGGTGCCGGGACCTATGCGGACGAACGTTGTGCAGTTTCTGCAACAGGCAAAGGTGAATCAATAATACGTGGGACAGTGGCAAGAGATGTGGCTGCTCTGATGGAGTTCAAAGGTCTTTCTCTGGAGGAAGCTGCTACTTGTGTTGTTCATGAGCGTACACCAAAAGGCACTGTTGGTTTGGTTGCTGTGTCTGCTAAAGGAGAACTTGTAATGCCATTTAACACAACAGGAATGTTCCGAGCATGTGCTACTGAAGATGGGTATTCAGAGCTTGCAATTTGGCCTGCTGCCAAAATTGAATGATCTAGCACCTCCTTTTCTGATTTTCAAGCTTAATGTGTTCTGACATAAACATCTGCATGGTTATATCATAAGAAAATCTATCTGCTTTTCAAGGTACAAAATGTGCAAGTTGTTTATATAGCTTGTCCTACATTTTGAATGCAATCACATTATTATCATGGGTTTTATAGCCATCACCTTGTTTAGTGCTCCATAAATGCTGAGGAGAGAACAACCATCCATTAATCTATGGTCTTGAGCTATGATAAATAACTGTCAATTAGGGTGTAACTTTTGTTAGTGCGCCAGATCAAACCTCAATTTAAATCTCACCTCAGATCCCATGTGGACTTTGTCAAGGCAAAATATTAACTAAAACTTCCTATTTGTTGGGATGGAATTGGAGGATTATTATATATTTTTCAGGCAAGGAAAGGGTTAAAGACTCGAATTAATTTATCACCGATGAGGTAATCAAGCACCTTCTTCAAATCACATAGCAAAAACTGTCTGGTCCAATAGTGTCAGTGATGTGTGCTTCCTCGTTGTTTTCCTCTATTTTATTTAGGTGTGTTGGGAAAGGGGGATGACGGCATTCATTCTTTGTATATTAAAAGTTCATTGCGTGTCACTATCGTATTGTTGTCCATTCTATGATAAAATTAGGCAAAGTTTAGCAGTTAAAGCTAAGTTCAGATAAAAAATCTAGTTACGTAAATTTTTTGCTAATGTGATAAAACGTCAGCTTTCGTGTGGTAAGATGAAGTAATAAACTTATCTGCCGTGGGTATTATTATTTCTCCAACCACTTGTTAATTTTGGAATGATGAGAAAGAATCAGATTAATTTAATAAAGGGTGAAAGTACTTTTTGAGTTAAGAGTTTTACCTGATTAACGTCTGTTAATCTTTAATGTTGATTTGGTTACTTTTAATGTAAACTTTTATTAGGTAAATTATTAAGATAAAACTCCAACTCTAATAGTAGGATAATACTAACAATATTTATGATATTTAACCTAAGTTTTGTTTTTTAATGTATCGGTTATTGGCAAGAAAAAAAATGTAAAAAATCACTTTTGTCTAAAATTCTTAGTCACACAAACTTCTATTATGACTACTACTACGATATTTATTATTTTTATCTTTTGTATATCTACTCTCTAGGTCTGACACCTAAAGAGATATCAATAAAATATTTTTCAAAAAAATAATATTTCATGCGCTGCCTTAAAGTAAAAGAACTCCTGTATTTAATTATATTAATTATGTACTATAGTATTTAAAATTAAAAAAAAAATCTTCTTACATCAATGTAAATTTAAAATTTTTTATACTTAATTTAAGATTTTTATTTAACTTAAATTTAATAGCTAATGAAATAATAAATTATAACTGTTAAATTTAAATTAAATAAAAAATTCAGATTGAGTTTAAGAGTTTTTAAATTTACACCTGTGTAAGAAATTTCTGCCTCATATATTACTAAAAAATGGCATTTGGCACTAGGTTAAAGGATAAAAGACTATCATGAAATTTAGAGTAATTAGTTCAATTTAATCTCATTAAAAAGACAGAGAAATATAAAATAAAATAAAATATTTTATATAAACAATTATGAAAATATGGATATGAATATATCATTTATATAGACATGTAATTTGTCAACTTTTATATTATTATCACAATATTTCAGTTTAAGGTTATTTTGGTGCACAATATGACAAATTTGGTATGGATGCAGAGTTGTTCAGCAAAAATGCTAATATATGTTGCAATGATAGCCTTTATAAAAGAGTCATAATTTAAGATAGAATATTTTGATTAAATTTGAAAGATTTTGTCATCTGTGAGTTTAATGTTTTGCTAACGATGAAATTTAGAATTTTTTTAATTTTAAGTGAAATAGAATACCTTGATTGATGGATTTTGACTGAAAAAGGGTTAAAAATGGCTTAGTCAGTTGAATTCATGGATATTTTAGAAAAGATAATTTTAGTTTTTAACAACAGAAAAGTTATAAAATTTAATTATAGCAGTTTAAAAAGATGAAGAAGTTTGCAGTAGGTTTGTTTGGTTTTTAGAAACATTTTTATTTTCTTTATTTAAATTATATAATTTTATTTTTTTTATTTTGCTTCTTGTTTTAAAAAACTTGTATAGGAAACAATTAAAAACATAAAAAGATGTTTCTAATATTTCACGTACAATTATTTAACAATAAGAAATAAAATGAAAATAGAGTAACGAATTTGTAATTAAAAGTAAAAGTAAAAAAAAAATTCTTAAATTCAAATAACCCCTTAAAAATTCAGGGTCTAAATTCAAGTAAAAATATAGACAAACTAAAATTATGCTTTAATTACAGTCGTGAGATCAAAATTACAATAAACTTATATTAAATTGACTATAAAGCACAAGAGAGTTAAGATCGAGTATTTAGTTTAGAGGTAGATATATGGATCTCCTTGCAATGTCCCTCCATGTAGGCGCAACATGTTGAGTCCACCTGATCCTACGTTCTACATAGGCTTATATCTTTCGGGAGTGCATATGACCTATGGGTTTACATGCTAGTTTGCATACACTTTCTTTTTCCAAACTTTGAGGACTTTCCAATCAACAATAAAACATGTAAAAACAATATATTAAATTTTAAAAAAACGACTAATGATGGTCTTTTCACAAACTAAAAGTGATTTTGTTTTTAAATTTAAATATCATAAATATTACACCATTAATACAAAATAAACATGAAAACACTACATAAAAGTAAGGAGATTTGCTGTTCAGTTTGACTATTTTTTAGACCAAAAAAAAAAAAACAAAACTGATTTAACAATAAACAAAAACTTCACTGTAAATCAATTTGAGAATGATATAGAAGCTGAACTACTCTAATTCGATTTTTTAGTTAGATTTTTATTTTCCCTAACAAATGATACTAAGCTCTTAGAGGACTACAACGCGCACAACAAATTACTGTCTGTTTAGCAAACAAAGATGGCAACAGGGAGTTGCTATAAGATTCCTTCAACGCATAACACGAGGGAAAAGGAAAAAAATGTTTTCATTCGATTACATTGCTATGAGCTGATAAATTATTACAAGAATTACTAAAGAACAATCATTCTATTACTTGCAGAAGGGGAAAAGATAGCCCCACCGGCCAAAAATGGATTCTCCCACATCTCTTCACCTAGCGCATATTAACTTTGTAATGTATAAGAATTCATTCTGTTCTGTTTCAAGACTGACTCGAAAAGAAAAATTGGGGAAAAGAGAATGAAAAAAAAAAAAAAAAACAAAATTCCTAGCAAAGTCAAAATTTTCTACTTCTGACTCCACATTTAGGCAACCACAGATCAAGAGTTTAAAATAATCTGAGATTGCATAATCCATCAGCAATCAAGAAGTAGCGCATTTCAACTTGTGACACAATCTTGGAGATGAGGGTGACTTTGATTTATGTACTTGTCCCATAAAGGCTTATACCTGCTTATAGCTAACTTCAACCACGGCTTCATGTTTCCATTGTAGTGAATAACTGCCGCACTTTCAATGAGGCGGTTGTCAATATTTAGGTCATAACCCAATCCTAAAACGTGCCATCTTCTGTCAAGTGGCTCTGTCAAACCATAAAAACATAAAAGAGCAGGTGGAAGTGTCCCCATCTTCCAGAGTGTCCCATCAGCATTCTGCTCTTGCCAGTAATGATATCTTGCAGTAACATTTGCCTTCCTCCAGGCAACCAAGTCAAAAATGTTCATACCAAATGCCCATGCACATGCCTGTGGATCAAACCTTGAGCTAATAATTGAGTTTGAGAAGTTGAGATACTTGTAGTACCGATGAAATGCTTCAAGACATGTTTCAACAGCACCATTCACATTCCCATGCAAATCCAGAGAGAAAAGAGGGGTCAGATCTTTCTGGACAACAAGATCATCATCCAGGAAGACAACCTTCTCAAGTTGTGGATAAATCTCAGGGATGTAAAACCGAAGATGATTCAATAAAGACAAATACTTGGGGTTCCGCATTTTGGGCTCAACATTTAAATCTTGATATGCTCCAAAATAGAAGGTCCGTGAATCAGGATTGAGGAGCTGCTTAACAATTGGAGAATAAGATGCATTCAACCAATGAAACTCCTCAATATTCTGTACCTCTATGGTTGCTCCATTAAAGTCATTACTAAGTAACCATGCTTGCATTGCCCCATAATTGACTCCATTAGTGACAATGTGAAAGACCAACTGCTTCGGATGGTCAGCATTGGAGACAGTTGAGTTTACAACCACAGATGTTGCCAATACATTATCTGAAAATATGCAGAAATGATATAGGTTGTTGTCCATGAGCCGCGGGGAGTTTTTCATCTCATCTGAGAGTTCTTGCAGGGATGGCATCTTTAGCCAATCAGACATGAGTTTCACATTTAGGCAATGAAGACTCTTAGGTACTGCTTCGGCTGCTATTTGACCAAACACAGTGCTTTGAACTGTTGCTGCATTGGCACGCTCTTCAAGAGCTTGAATATGTGATTTCATAGTCACTATTGTGGTTGCAATGTCATAATGGATATCTTGTGCCTTGAAAATTAGAAATGAAAGGCTTTTAATAATTGGCTCTGCCTCCTCCAGTGTGACTGGCTCACCAGTCATGGCAGCTTTTGAAAGCAAAAGCTGGCAACTTCTGATCTTTGAGCTAAGCTGCCAGGCAAGGTGAAGATTATTGTGTTCTTTAGCAATAACCACATAAGCCTTGGCTAGAGTCATTTGTTGTGCTAACTGCCGAGAAAATGATGCTACACTTAAAATCTCTTCAGTAAAATTCAATCTCTCCTTAGCAAAATGTTCAACTCTTGCACTTCTCTCCTGAAAAGGAAAGTCACTTGCTCTGTAAGTATCCACAGAAGGGGCAGATATGGGAATACTTGTAAAAACAAAAGGTGATATCAACTAAAGAGTAACAACAGTAAATCATATGGGCCTCAAAACATAACTGTCACAACAGTGTCAATAATTGTAGCATTAACAGCTACAATGTATCTCTTCTTGTGATTTAAAGAAATGGATTAGTAGTCTGAGACTCTAAGGTAAGGTCCATGTCTTTCACTTTCTATAGCTGTTTTCACATGCATCAGTAATCTTCAAGACCTACTCTTTTACACTATCAAGGCATACTTAATTACATTTACTACTTCACACTGATGATCAATCACTCAACTTTCGCTTTTGATATCATGATTATCATCCAGAGATTTGAGTGTGCAATTCATATTTTGATATCCTTTATGCATATCTGTATAATTACCATGATATTCAGGATGAAATTTCGTGACAAGCAAGTAATGGTTTTAAATATTTTCCTGAATGCTCATTCACTTGCAGTAACTTGAGATAAATATCAAAATAATGGATGAAAAAAATGAATATAATAATGTTAAAACTGCTACAGAATGATGAAAAGGTCATCATCTTTCTGAAGCAGCAAGATATCTGGAAACAGGTCAAATGAACAAGAGATACCTAATAAACACGAGGCAGTGAAGTGAAATGGGTAATAGATTACTGTTGAAAAGAAGAATGATTCCAAAACAAGTCACAGTATTTGGTGACATGAGAAACTAAGGGAGGATCCTACATCGACCTGACAATTGTTAATGGTATAACAATTTCTGAAGGTTGGGTTGCGTGTAGGTACTAGCTGCACAGTTGCAAGTGCAATGATGTGCAAGTAATACTGAACAGTTTCCAAACCCAGTAATTGGTGCCTGTTTCCCATTTTAGTAGCAAATGACTTCCACTCAGAGTATCAATTAAAGACCAAAAAGTGATTAAAAAACATTGTGTCATCATCCTTGTCATCAACCTTTCTACTTGAAAACCAGTATCTTGGCTAATTTAACCACAACCATTTTCCTTTACGTCTCACTTGAAACAGAAGTAAACAGATTCAGACCATAAGAACAGAGTCGTGAAGGTTCCCCAGCAACACCCCAAACCCCCCAAAGTGGAATCCATCTTTGATTTGATTCAAAGTCCATTGTGAACTTAACCTATTAAAATTCAAGAATAGATACAGCCTTTACACACTTAAAAATCATAAAAACTGACGCCAATGGCGTGAAGCCATCGAAAAACCAAAAACACACAATTAAAATTAGGATCTAACAACGCAATAAGCTGCACAAATATTCAAAGAACAAACACAAGACATCACTCAAACTTCATAAACACTACGTCAGCATCGATTATAAGCCAAAATTACAGAAAGAAAAATAAAAACACATACTCAGGTCAAGTAAACAGAACAAAAACGCAAAGATAATGATAAAAAAAAAGAGGTTTACAATCAGAGGCAACAGATACGAATGAAAAATAAAAATGGATCGGATTGGGAAGAAGATACGAACCAGCGAAGGATACTGAAGCGGATCTTGGTGGTGGTGATTGTGTTGAACAACGAAGAGAATCAATCCGAGGATAGAGGAGAAGGCGAGGAGAAGCCAGATCCAATATGAAAACCTCCGTCGAACCGGGCGCCGATACTCGGCAGCCCGTCGCCGCATCTTTCACGGATTCACCACCAAATCCACATTCAATTTCCCTCTCTTCTCTCTTCTCACTTGCAATTTCGAATTCGCAATCCTCACAGCCACCTCAAACAAATGCTATTCCTCCACTCACAGTGAAATAAATAAGACCCACAAAATTTAATTCAATAAATGATAGAGAGAGAATTGAAGGTTATTTGGGAAGGAAGCATAAGCATGCACAATTGCAAGTGTTTCCTTTCCTGTGGATTCATTCATTTCCTTTTCCTCTCAAATTATTAATTAATTAATTGTAAAATACCTCAAGAAACCTACACCCGCACATGATCGCACGTGACTCACGTCTCATGCCATCCTAATTCTTAGCGGAAACTCAACACTTCCTTTCTTCTTCTTCTTTTTTAATTTTAATTTAATCTTAGCTATGGATCTCTTTTTTTTCAACGTTGGGAATATATGTTAAAGGGAAAGTGAAAAGAGAAAAAGAAGAAGATGAACGTGAGTTCAACCAAGCCAAGCCAAGCCTGCCCACAGTTAAAGGTAAGGGAAGAAAAAGAATGCTCTTCGGTTCCAAATCCTTAACTCATTCCATCCTTGTTCGTATACCCATATGCTTTTTCTGGTCCAATTTGTTGACATTGGGCCTCATTCCACCATATTTTTGGTCATAGGGCCTCGCTCCACTAAATGTATGATAAATCGTGATCCTGCTGCGCTAGGCCTCTTTTTACCCTGAAAAGCCCATAGCATATTAATTGTAACGTTGAAAACTGAAAACAAACAAGCCTCTAGCATTGCTGTTCAACGTCAAAGTTCATTTATAAAGTCTATTAGCTGGCCAGCTGAAGACTATTTTTTATATTAAAAAATTAACAACTAATAGTTGTTTCTTATAAATAAGACAAAGGTAGTACGTTGATAAATAATAAAGTCTCAGTGAAGTAATAATAAATTAAATGATACACAAAGTAGTAATGAGTTTAAATAATCATTTTCTTAGCTAAATAGATTATTCAAACTTAAAATACATGTCCAAATTAAAATGCAAAACATAATTAGAATAAAACTATTTAAACTTGAAAAGAAATGTTAAATAATAAAAAGAATTATACTAATAAGTTAATAAAAAATACTTTTTTTTACAAAAAGACAATTTAAAAAATGTTGGATTTGGCACACGTTGAAATCTTAATATATTTCGAAAAATGTGGTTCAGTGTTTCACTGAAAAAAAAAAGGTTGAGTGTTTCGCTATTGTATTGCATTAAACAACATTCTCCTTTTCTACCAGAACAGAGAAAAGGACAGTAGAAAGCCACCAACTAATATCATGAGCTGCTGAATGACTTTCAAGAGCATCCATTTTAATTTCAGTGACTTGCGACACCGACAATTAGGAAAAATAAATGCTAATGCTCCTCCTAATTTTTTTGTCTCTGAAATGCACGAGCAAGTGTATAATTATGTTTAGTTTAATTTAAAGTACATTACGATTTTCCATAACCAATTCAAAAGGGTATAATACACTTTTACTTGCACAATCTAGAGAAGAGAAAGGTGATACTAAGCCAAGAGCCAAAAATTTTTATGGCGTTTGGTAGTAATCAAATAGCCTCCGAGTTTCTTATTCTTCCTCCTAACCGCAATGGTCATGCAAGGCGAGTTCTGTATACAATACTGAACAACTCCAGCTCTTGTTCCCTTTCGTACCCACCACCTCCTCGTTAAGCACCACAACGTGGATCGCTTTCTTTGTCCCACAACCAACAATGACACCCTCTGTTGCTTTGCTTCTTCCACTAGAGCAGCACCCTTTTCTTCTCCTTCAACCATTACTACATTCACTTTCACCTTCAACAAAGATACCCAACCATTACACGTTACCACATGTTTAATTCATGAGGACAGAATCACATTTTTTTCAAACTTACCCCGGGTCTCTTCGTTTCGCACATACTTTTCATATCAAGGAGAAGTTGATACGCCTTCACATTAAATTTAGTAGCTCTCTCTGCACCTAGGAATCCAAACATAATTGAACTTTTCTTTTAAGGAACATTTGGATCAATTTATACAAATTTTATGAGAACAATTTGACTTTTGCATTTTCAATTTACTTAAGCTTCCTACAACCTTGAGTTAATGACAAAATACGTGGTATAAACTCTTATTAGATAAGAATTTAATTAAGTTATTGATTTTATTAAAGTTTACTCGATTGAATTAAACAACTAAAAATAATAAATATTTTTTAAAAAAATATAATTTTTAAATACTTAAATTTAGAACTAAAAATTGAAGTGCTAAGATATAAACAGAAAAGTAGAGACTAGTAATATAATCGCTCACCTTCCCTGATGGGTTTGGCTACATGAACAAGAACAACAGTGTCTTGGCTCTGAACGGTGTGTGAGAGTGCCCAATCAAGCGCCCCTTTAGCTTCAAAGCTAGAATCCACAACAACCATTATCTTATTACCAGTTTCAGCCCCCTTATCAGGCTTGCCTCTACCAGTATCATGGCCACCGTTGCTTGAAAACTCAGTTCTGTTAGCATATTTGATAGAAGCAGAGGAAGAGGTCTTGGATCGAAAAGAAGATAATAAAGAACAGGCACGAACACGAGGCATGGCGTGACCAATGCACAAACCGTGCAACCTAATACGTGGCCTTCCCATGTCTTGGTAGTTCCCGAGGACTTAAACCGTGTCTATGAGATTTGTCATTATATACACACATTGGGGAACAGAATTAATGAAGCCCAGTTTCTTTGTCACACCCTTTGACTTTTATCTTATTTCTTTTATCTTTTTTATGATTCTATCTTTCAAAAGTTAATTAATGATTTCTTTGTTTGTTTTTGGGTGATTTCTTCGTTGTGGGGCTGTCCTTGAACGTGCGAGCCATCAAGATTTTCTATGATGGACAAGCGTTGACAATGTTGACACTGATTCTTTAATGCCTTCTACACGCATGGAAGAATAATTCTGAAGAAATCAGGCAGTGAGAGAAAGAATGAATAAGTTTCTAAACTTGTACGCACTAATGATTAAAGCAAATGAGCTTTGAATTTGAGGAGTGATGGAGATCACGTTGATTTAGAATTTCAGAGATTGAAAACATGGAGCCACGTCATCTCAAGGAGTCTAGTGATTCCTTTATGACAAAAGTCACGAAACGTCCTTAGACATTCTTGAATTTGACGATGTTCTATGTAAGGAAACCATGAAGAAGATAAAATAGCAGGAAATCATGCGGTGATGAAATTCGACGTAGTTAGTAGACTAAGGTAACCGTGGTAAGTGGTAATTAGGCTCTACAAAATTAATAGATTTTTTCCCTTATATGTAACACAATTTTGTGTGTGATTTATATATATATGTATGTAATTAGTCCCTTTTCATGAGACTAAATTATCCTTTGCATAGGGACTAATTTTAATTGAAAGTTTGCTAATTTCGGGTGTTTTATAAAAAATATATTACACATAAAGAAAACAATGAAAAATATATTATATTTAGAAAATAAATAAATAAAGTGTTATTTATAGGAAACAAAATGAAATTCACATTACGAATAGCTTAAAAAATGTTATGATCATTCATGTCTGATTGTAAAAGGTATTTTACTAGCTTTAAAAAACGTAATTATGAAAATATGGAGTTTGAAAGTTAGATTAAAAAAGATTTTAATTTTTCTCATTGTTTACATGGTCAGTTTTTTTAGATTGACTTTAACACTTTAAAGACTAGTAAAATTAAAACACATTCTATCCAAAAATCAAATAACATCAAACTTTTATTGAAAAAATAAATTAAAAAACTAAATCAAGTGCTTCGTTGATATCAAAAAATAAAAAAAAATATAAGAAGATATAATATTGCTTATTTATTATATACTTATTGATATGTACCATGATTTTCGTGGGTTATTCATACGAAAGTAATTTTTAAAATAAAACGGTCCGGCTAATTAATTCTTTGAAATTATTTGTTAAAAAATATTAATAATTTTTTTAAATAATTTCTCAAATTGCTAAAACTCTTCGGCATACAAACATACGTCTTTTTGAGCTGTTGGCCCCTGGCTGTCTTTTCAGCTTACTTGTAAATCAACTTTTCGTACGTTAAAAATTTCGTTTAAATAGTTTATTTCATATTTACAAGTTTTTTTAACATATTTTAAAATACACACTTAATGTGATATTTTCCCAACCTGTGGCCGCTGGGAACGTGGATTCCTTTCCTTTGTGGACCCAAAACGGGAGAGAGTAATGTCTGGCCCAACTCGCTAGCATACCCATATGTTAAAAGGGAGTAATATTTGACCAATTAATTTTTTAATATTAAATAAAAAATACATTTATATTTAAAATTAATATTCATTTAAAAGCTAAAATGAAATTATATATATGTATATGTATATCTCTATCTATGGATACGTATAAATCAAAGAATAGAAACAATTATAGATTTGACAAAAATCAAGAGAAAAAAACACTGTTAAATTGATTTGTCACTTGTTTGTTTCATACAATTCAACAATTTTCTTAATTCATTAATAATTGAGTCGCATGCTGTTTGATTAAAACAGTAGGAATATCTGAATTAACTTTTTTTTTTTTTTTTATTGAGACGAGTTAACTAAGATTATAGAGACACAGAGTCCTACACAGCTTTGCTCTTTACTCCCAGTTGTAAAACCACTAAATTGGTTCATATTTAACTCTGACATAAAATTCAAACAGCTATGAATAGATCTATTAGACATCTTATATCATTTTCAGGATTATATAGATTAAAATTTATATAATTTAAGCATTTATAGATATATTATTTATTTTTTAATTTTTATATTTTAAAAATATATTACTTATTAAAATAAAGTAATATAATGAATTACTTATTAATTTTATTTTTGACTCGGTATTACAATTATAAATTTTTTTGTTCCGAAAGTTAAATGTAACTATGGACAATTAAAAGTGTAGCTTTATTATTTAAACACAAAATATTGAACGCATATATTATATAATTGTTATCTTTTATTTAATTTTTATAACACATTTTTAGAATGTTTATTTTAAATTTTAAAATCATACTTTTTTATGTTTAAATAAAATTCTGGTCTTCTAAAAATTTATGATTTTTTATTATTCTCTATCTTGCAGTCTAGTCCCTCAAAAATTATATTTTTATTTGATGTTTTAGTAATTTGTTAACTTATTTTTTTATTTGTTTATAAAATATCTAAACCTACTTATATAATTTGACTAAAACATAACATAAACAATATATGTCATTAACAATATCATATATTTTATATTTTTAAATAAAATTTTAGTTATAAAAATTAAATTTGAAAAATTATATCATCATTCGTGTTAATGAGTAAAGTTCGATGTTACAAAAGTAAACACTAGAAAAAAGTTATAAATTACAAATAAAATAACTTTATAAAGAAAATACTTTTGAGAAGCATTGTTTGAAGAAAGATGAAAACGATGAATTAAAAAAATAGAAAATAATATAAATGCACTCATAATGCAATATATGTTTATGTCCTTGTATAAAAAATGTTAAATTTTATGACAATTAATATAAATTAAAATCATATTTAAGATGTATTTTTAATTTTAAGTGCATAGCAAAATAACTTTTCAACTGTTCTATAATAGGAATATTATTTATAATATTTTAAATAGGCACGATAAATAATTTGAGTTATATTATTCACAATTTCTAAAGAAATGAAAAATGTACATTGAATATTTCATTAAAACAGAATTTTATATCTGTATCTTTTAAAAAGAAACAGAACTTTAATTAATATACTGGACAGCATTGAAATGAAGTGAGTCATGTTACATACAGATTAAAATCCAACTTGTATAGGCAGAAATTCATATTGATGATGTATGATAGGCTTTAATTTATAAAAATTGTATTGATATTGAATAAGAATAAGCTTCTATTCAGTTGTAGGACGAGGCAACCAAGGGGGAAGAATTGTGTTAGCTCGAGTTGGCGTTGGAGTTTCTTCATTACATCTGGTGTCACCAAGGAAACTTAATAAGTATCATAGTATTTTACAATAAAAAGAGAGGAAAATAAACTTAAGTAATAAAAACTTACGTAAAAAAAATTAGGACTCTATAGAAAATGTGCATAATTTTTTTTAAAAATATAATACTTATACGCTTCTTATTAATATTTTTTATTTTTTATTTTTACATCATTCTATCTATCACATCGTTCTATTTCTTTTCTTTTAATTATTTTTCACTGGTGCATGCACCTAATACCCTATTTTTACTCATGTAAACATTTTAAAATGTGAAGTCATGTTAACATATGATGAGAAAATAAAAAAGAAATCAACATCGGTATAAAATGAGTGTGAAAATTAAAGTGAAAATCGGTACTCATCCTATTCATTGACCATGAGTCAATTTGATATGCATAAATTAGAAAAAAGATTAAAAAAGAGAGAGAAAATAAACATTATAAAAACTAGTAAGAAATTATGGAACATATAGTAAGACCTCTTTATTCATGTTAGGTGAAGAATTTGAAAAAAAGAAGAAGGTTGATATACATCTATTATTCGCTCCTTATACAAATAATTTAAAAAGTATAACTGGTGACCATATTTTTTGCTGTATTTTATAATTTTTAATTTAAAGAACGTTGCACTGTTAAGGGTGTTTTAAGGATTCATGCAAATACATAAAGGATAAAATTTATGTATAATTTTTTTTATTTTTTTGTTGTTATTTTTTAAGTTAAAACTTCGATAATCTACAATAATAATAAATGTTTGCTTTTTTATTAAAGTAAATTTTTTATTTTAATTAAATAATAATAAGAACAATACTTAAAAAAAACTGTAACTAATTTTAATCCATACATATATACCCGCTAAGAACAGAGATTTGGGAGCTTTTCAGATATACATGAAAGAAAAGACACTAACCCAATATTCAAGTACTCCAGCGGCTGAGTTACAAGAACAGAGTTCATATCCGCGTTATTATGAACCCCCCTTTGCTCCTGTTGGGCCAGCGCCTTCTCTTTTTCCTTAATCTGTTTTTCACTCAAACCATGTTGTTATGTACTGTGAGATGTGAAATCTAAGTAGTACAAACTGCATGAACAGTTACAAGAAAAACGTTATCACCTTCTTGGCGAGCAAATTGTTATGTTCCTGCAGTGCCTTATCCTGCATAATAAAAAACTAGTACTTTATGTTACACAAATAAAATCACGATTCATATCGGATGGCGGACACAGATGCAAAACTTTTGGCCAACCAAAACAGTGTGTGCATATCTCTACTGAAAATTATTAAAGTTAGAAATATATACATCAATTTACTGAATTTACAATACACATAAACAATTAATGATTATCCAATGTTCATCCCCACGAAATTCAAGGAAAAAAAAAAAGAAAGACACATTGTTCCATATCATACGTGATTATGTTACCATTTTCAGTAACAAGATGTGGGCAAGAAAGGGTCACCTTTTTCTGAAGCTCTGAAATAGATTCATACATGACTTGGTTCTGCACGTGAACACCCAGAAAGACTACCACATTCAGTTTAGACTTCAAATTACATCGCAAAAACTCTCCACTCTCTGGGTTGCATAGTCTTACCTTTCGTGATCTGATGCGTTTGATAGCGGAATCAAGTTGTTGTTCCAAATTCTGAAGCTCTTTGATACTTAAGCTATCCAGCTCTTCTCCCTTAAAATTCCTGAAACAAAACAATAAATCCTGCCATTGCATATATAATTTATTACACAACACCACAAGCAGCTTTTGTTACTAAAATTTTAATACCTTTGATTTCTCTGTAGAACTTCCATTCTAGCCTTCAGCTTCGCGTGTTCTATAACCCAGTTTTCCTAACAATACATCCAGATAATTAAATTAGTATATCTTCCAATTTATTGTAACAGTGGCAACTAACTATCCATACACTGGAAAAAATTTATTTATTATTGGAATAAACGTGTATATATGTGTGCGTGTGTCCGTACATAATACTAGCTATAATGATATACTATGTCAAGAAAGAGTTGTATAAAGATAAATGGAAATTTCTCAAAGAACGCATGAGTTGCACACAATAAAGTATGGATACAAGTATGCGATAAACAACTAAAATATGAATGAATAAATTGGTTTCGCTATTAAAATATTTTAAAATTGAGGCAGGGACAAATGATCATAAAATTATACTCCTCCCTGGGAGAGGGTTTAGAGAAAGTATAGAACAATCTCCAATTTATATCAATTAAAAAACCAACAGAAGAAAGAGTTCAAGGTTCATCGAGAGGAGCTAAAGCCATACATTTGGGGCCTGATCATCTCCTACAAGCTGCCTCTCCGCATACGAATACCTCTCATACCGTTCAATAACTCTTTCCATACTGTTGACAAAAGAAAGTAACGGTGAGTAAAGTTTTTATATTTTGATTGCTTCACACCTTGAAACCAGCAACAAACACAAAAACTTCATTTAACTCTTGAAGTAACAAGGCAACTGAGGAAGGAATAACCTATTTTTCTCTAACACGCTAAGTAGCATTTTACATGCAAGCAAAAGAGATAATTGCTGGGTCTTACACTTTCCCGCCAACATTAAATTCACGCAAAAAAATGCATAAAAAATTCACATGCCTATGTACTGTAAATAATTAGATATATGTATAGGCTCATACAGTCACACATATTCAGCCTTGACAGGAATTTTAAAATCTTTTTGTCCAAACTAAGGGTTTTACAATTAACAAATTTGAAATTAACATCCTACAGCATATCGTAATTTTTTGCTGTCTCAATTTATTCATCTGTGCTCCTGAAAAAATTTAGCAAAAGGGTTTTAATTATTGATTAATTAAGAGAATATAAGGAATAATATAAAGAATATTGGACTAAATTAAAATTAGAATGAGCAGACTACGCAATAAAATTTAGAAACTCAATCACAGTTTAAATTAAAATAAATTGCATAGTAAAACAATTGAGGTAATTTTATGTTAATGATATGTTCATGTATGCACGATGTGCTTACATCTATCTACTGTCAAGTTTATATATTCTCAACTATAGCAACCACAAGCCCACAAATTGAAAGCTATATACAAGGAATATATAGTTTTTCTACTGTTAAAAATTAATTAAGAAAAAAAAACATTTTTGGGTTATTTAGAACATTTGCAAAACCAGTTTAGTGATATTTTAAAAAATGTATAAATATTTCTAGAATAAATAACTTTAACTGTAACACACACACACACACACACACACACATATATATATATATATATATATATATATATATATATATCGTAAATAATTTGTTCAGGTTAACCCCCTTCCCTTTTAAAAAATTATTTGACTTCTCTGAACAACAAGGATGCATTTTCCACAATAAGGATGCTTATATAAATAACAATTATGATTTTAATAAATTATAATATATTACAACTTTATTAAAATCTTAATTGTTAATTATACCTACTTTTAGCTTCAAAGGTGCAGATGATTGGTTTCAAGAATAAAATACCGCGAGTAGCGACAAATGAATACTAGAAAGTCAATTGTGCCTTCCCTGCACACAGTACGGTTACTGTACCCATTCCTCGAGCTTGAAGCTTGATATTAATTTTCGTCTATAAATATGATTGGCAACTATAATAACACGGGTTTGCGATGGTTTCCTGTTCTTAAGTTTCCAGTAGTACACTAACTTGAAAATTTGTATTTCACACCCCGTTTAGGAATGTGAATTAGATGAAGGAACGAGGGAGTTACTAAAAAAATTGAAAATATGAAAAATAATATAAAAAATTATAAAAATAAATTTAAGAGAAAGAGACATAAAATTGTAAGAGTGTATTGCATTGGCATTACATGCATTTTAGTTTTTACAGTGCAATGCCCCTTTCCTCAGGGTGGTGTCTGGCTATTTATGTCAGTGAAGATGCCTCCCCCTCCCCTCGAAAGAGCAAAACGCGTACATATTATATGCTAGTGAGGGAGAACATTGGACTTCTTTATGTTAGATATTTCATATAAAATCATTATCTGTCTTTATCATTATTTAAGTTTTCTAGATAATTATCTTTATCATTAATTGCCTGTGTTTTTTCTTCAGATAATTAGTTTATAACATAATATCAGATTTTTTAAAATTAATTGTGGGTTAAATTTCTTTTCTTCTCATTAAGTAATACTATGGTATGGCTTTATCCAAAAACATAGATATTCAAATTAACATAATAACCATCCTCCCCATAAAAAGAAGGAAAAAGAAAAAAGATACTCTAAGACACAGTGGTTGTTGTTCCTTTTTAATATCAAGTTTAACGAAACAAGAAATGTAAACCTATGCTCCTGCATGCTGACAATCTTTTGAGGAGTAAGACAACGAATAACTATATATATCAGAAAATATATGTATGAAGAGTGCACGGTGAGATCCTACTGAGAAATTGAGAATCGTACATTACATCAAACACGTTACTAATTAACTAACTAAACAAAATATGTAAACGATAAATGAATACCTAAGGAAAAAGAGAGAACACTGGAGCAATATTAGTGCAATCATAAACAAGAAATACACTAAGTGCATATTTGGGGGTAAGCCAGAAGAATACCGTACGATAAAGGATAATGGGAGAGAAATTTAAAACGGAGCGTATGTGAAAAGAGGCATATATGTGTGCATGTATAGTGTAAATAATTGACTAATTAAGATCTATAAGCTAGCTAGCTAAGAAATGAAGGTTGATTTCAGATACGAGGGAATTAAGAAAAGAGGTAGGAGGATTGGGAAGATTGAGATGGAGAATTGAAAAAAGTTAAATAAATAAAGATATGTACAGTCATGTATGTATATATAAGTATACGAGACTAAGATCGGTGTAAAATAAGAAAGAGAAGAATAAAGGAAAGAGAGGATATGGTTATTGTAGGAACGGAAGAGACGTACCAAGGGTCACTGGAGTACTCGAAAAGCTTGCCTTTAGTGGAGAAGATTATGAGAGCCACTTCTGCATCACAAAGCACAGAGATCTCGTTGGCTTTCTTAAGCAAACCAGACCTTCTCTTTGAGAAGGTTACTTGCCTATTGATCTTGTTCTCGATTCTCTTCAACTGAACTCTTCCTCTTCCCATACTTGTCACTGTATATAATATGTTTCAATCTTCTCCACTCTTCTCTCGCAACATATATATCTCCGCACTAAAACAATATGCACTTTAATTTACTCAAACACATGGGAGTCACCACATGAGATGGTGGTACAATTTAATTTTCTCTCTGTGTGATTTCTTCCTGTGCTCTCAGAATTTGTAGAAGCGGCGAAGGAAGAATGAGTGAGAACGAGACAGAGGAAAGAGGAATCTGGAGTATGAAGTCAAGGCATGGAACATACCATAAAATCTTATCATTATTTTTTTTATTGTAAGAGGAAAATATCATTGGTCAGTATTTAGTATATAAAAATATATTCGGCGGGGTAGAAAAGAAAAGAAAAACCGCTGATAGGATCCGCATGGTGGTTTTGGAAAACCTGCCTGGTTTCGTCAATTACGCTGTCTCGTTACGATTGGCTAGAGAGACTGTCCTTGTTGCCTGGGCCCCACATCTCCTTGTACGCACTCGTCCCGTTCTTAGATTCTTACATGACATCTCTTTAAAAATATTATATTAACCGCTCCCACAAAATTGTACTGTCACGTTACCGTTTAACTGTACATACCATTACTTTATTAATTTTAATTAAATCAAATTTAGCTAAGGGATATATATTTTAAAAGATTAAAACATTAAAATTTAATTTAAAATAAACTAAATCAAATATACACTTAAATAAGTGTTGAATCTTTTGCCATTATCTCATTTGCTCAAGTTAGAGGTAGATATATGAATTTTATCCTGCCGCTTTAACCATAAAACCTGCATTTGTTATAGCTTTAGAGTGAAAAATAAAAAGACTTATTTAATTGCGAGCTTATGAAAATTGAACTGCATTGTTTGCGGGTTAAATAGGTTATATTTGTGGGTTAACTCAATAAACTGTATAATATATTTATTTATTTATTTTTATTAGTTAATTGATAAATAAAATTTGGATATCGTAAAAGTTTAGAAGAAAATTTACTTTTAATTTTTCAAAAACTATTACTGAATATTTTTAGTTTTTAATGTAATACACTTTTGAAAATAGGTTTTATCATTTATAAAAAGGGTAAGAATATATATAAAAATGTATAATAATACAAATTCAGAAGCCATACATGGGCTTAACATACTTAAGCTCATATAGAATTTATTATTCAAGTAAAATCATGTATAAACTTTTGTAATATGAATAAGGGAAACAAAAATAGTTATAAAATCAAATTTAATTTGTTATCCAAATTTATTTTTAAGATACATTAGATTCAAAATTAAAATTATATGTTATTTTGTAATATTCTGAACTGCTATTGTGCTTCACAACCGTTGGATGGGGATGAAATATGTAGTGGGTGGGATGCCGACTCCAAGCTGGCCTTTCTCGCAATTCCACCAAACTATATAGTAACTGCATCATCTTCAGATACTTTTATTCTTTCCATAGACATTTGATTGTCATTTGAATTTCAACCTTTATTGATATAATATATTTGTAACCGGGAGTTATGAATTAAAATTTGAAAAGCCGCTTTATACAACAAAAGGTAGTAATGACTTGACAGATATTACAATAAATATAAATATTAGCTCTATTGACCTAACACATTAATTTTACTGTATTTTTCTTTTTCTATTATTACTTTTTTATTTTTATCATTACACCACAGAGTATAATTTCATTATCTACCGTTTTTTACATTTAATTCAATTAATGAACAGTCGTAATTCATTAAGAGATTATGAGTCGATCTTCATCAAGGGTAAGTGTGGCTAAATTAAGACTATTTTTAAACCCTAATTAGATTAAAAAAATGTTAAGCTTTGAAATATTAAAATATTTTGTATAGGCCTAACATGTTGACCTGTTTAAATAATTAATAACAACAATAAAATATTGTGTATTTATTTTATTTAAAAGTTTATATTCATTAATTTACAATTAATTTTAGGTTTATTAACTTATTTAAAATTAAATTTTTCCATCTATTTTTTTAAAAATAACATTATTAGTAAGATTATAAGAAAAAAAAAGACAAGTCATAAAATATAATTAACTTTTATATTATAAATGAAAGTCTATTTTTTAGTAAATAAAATGTTAATAAAATTATTTTTCTTCACATTTTATTACGTATATATTTGACGATTAAAAATAATATATAAATTATATTTTTTTCTGCTGCAATTTAATTTTACTGTTTACCTGTATTTTTATTAATTTTATTTTAAAGTTTGAAAATTATGATTTTTAGTTAATTTTTTTTATTAATTTATATAATTTTATTGTAGTTTTGTAAATAATTATTTTAAAAATTATATTTTTTTAAATTTAAAATATAAATTTAAGAGTCTTAAATCTTATAATTATTAACGTTATACAATAAAATTATTATTTTAATTTAATTAAATATTTATTATTTCATATTTTTTATAGTTATAAAATAAAATAAAAATATTTTTAAAAAAATTATTGTTTAAAATAATTTTACTATATATAAAAATTGATCTCCAACATTAGGGCTCATAAATGTCAACCTATTTTTACTCTAGTTATACTAGTAAATGTTTACGTGCGTGCTCACAGGAATACATTGACGTAATTATAATTTTTAAAAATGAGTGCTCGTTTTCTTTATTTTTTTGACACCTGCCTAAAATTTCGTACCTAACAATGTCGAAGGTATTTAATAACGTCTCAATCAATTCCGATCAGCAGATCAGCCAAAATGGCGGAATAAAAACTCCAGTCATTCAATTATAATAAGACTCTGCCTCTGCCTGAAAGTTATATAAAAACAACAAACTTTATTATGTTTATTTTAACTTAGATTATATGTAATTTTAATTCTATTTTAAAATTAATTAGACATATTTAATTTTTTTTATCAACCAGCGTAAAATTATTCTGTCTGACTTAATATAATTACCTATTATGAAAGATACTCGAATTCTAAAAAAATTCATTAATTAAAATATCAAATTTCATTGAAAGCATGAAATTAAAAATAATGCTAATACAAAAAGTAGGGGTGGCGTGTACTTTCATATTTCTCGATTTCGTTTGAATAGGATTTTTATGGGTAATATTTTATTTGGAATATTTAATTTGAGAAGGGAATAGAAAGAAGCATCGTTATGAATGAAAAAAATGTTGTGGATGGCATCTTCAGCTTTCCACCGCCCTTCTCATCTTATTTGACTTTTGACTGGGATATACTCTTGTCTCGATTAGATCCACAAGCCTTTTTCTACTTTTATTTAGATAGGCAAAAGTAACGCACTTATAATTTAAAGGTAACTTGAATATCCATTTATCAATAAAATATATAAAAGAAATGTAAAATATGGATCCAGCTTCTCTATAGTTGAGAAGAAACTGTAACCTTCCATTTAAATTTGTTTAACCGAAACAAAATTTGTTTAAGTAAATTTAACAAAAAATAATTTTTTCTTAAGTTAAAAAAATTTACTTAAACAAATTTAGTAAAAAAGTGACTTTTACTTAAAACAAAAAATTGTTTAAGCTAAAATTGAGAAAAATTTTAAAACTTTATCTTTCTCTTTTCTAAAGTGTATAAAATTTGAGAAATCTTTACCTTTTTATTAATAACTATCTAGTTATCAAAGATTTTTACATATTTCATCCCACTAAACATTCCAAATATATTATCTAGTGTTGTAACATCTTTATCTTAAAATCCGTACAAGTACAATGTACGGATTTTTCTTAATCATTTAAAATAAATTATTATTTGCAAGAACTAAGTATATTGAATTTATGAAAACTTTTATAAGATATAGTAATTTATACAAATAATTCAATATAAATCAATACAAATTATACGACATTAATTCTAAAAGGTTGAAATTAAAAAATACCAAATAATTCTAATAAAAAAATTGAACATGCATTCCATAAAATGAGTATATTAATTTAAAATCATTTGTCAAAATATAAAGGACTTGAGATAATAATTACATAATCCAAAATATGTACAACACATAAAATATACAAGTCTAGAGTAGTTTCTTCAAAATCAACTCCTAAAGATCAGTCCTACTCATCCACTTCGTGCCAACTTTCTAGCTCAGCTAAGTCTTTTGAATATAGATTCTTATCTGATCCTAGGTAACGATCACCTGAATCAGCTCTAACCTCTATGCTGGTGACACGCTCAAAGGTCCATCTAGACAGTCTTCCGAGAGAGTCATGATTGTGGTAGGTAAAAAGATAGGTGAGGACTTCTGAAGTTCTAACTGTACCTCGATACATATATATATAGTGTTTGGTGTATTCTATTTCTAGGGAAATCAAAAAGGATACTACGAGAGTAATCTATTTCTATCATAAAAAAAAATCTTAGGTTCATCTTCTACCAGAACAATGAATTTAAAATAACATACTTGTTGATATTCATTAAATACATAATTCAAACTATTATGTACTGAACTATCTATTAACCTAACTCTTTCCTTAGGCTCCGTCATCCTGATTTTCTAAAAATATTAGTAAGGATGAGCATCTATTATATTCTTTTTCAAACATTATATCATCAAATCATAATTTATATTATAATGGCAGCATATTCACTCTCCCACAAACATTACATTACAAACATGTTCATATATACATCAATCATAATTCACTGTCTATCATTCAATTTCTTATATCAATACGCACTCCCAGTACACTGTGATCACAAATATCAATGTCTCAAGCACTTCTCGATATCTTACTCAACTAGATAAATAGTCACCGGTTAGCCCATGCACATGGATACAACGTGTATAATAGTCGAACCCCTTAGCAAAGGCATAATCAGGAGTCTAATCAGGAAATGAGTGTGAGGCAATGTGACGCATTTGCTCTCAGAAAGAGTGTGTACACAGACGCGAATGTCGCTTACCACTGTACGTTTCCCCATATTCTCATTGTCTCCGGACTTTATACCCCAGTGTATCTCTGTAACTATTCACACTAGATCCAATCCAAATCCGACTCTTATAGTCATTCTCAGAATTATTCTCTTTCTCACTCATAAAATCGTGCTTAGTAAAGTATTTCCAGACTAATTCCATTCCAGTCCATTTCATATCAATGTCATTCCAACATACCATTTTACTTATAATAATCATTCAACAAATTTAATCATCTTCCACGGTAAGTACTCATCATGTAATACATACACATATATCAACCACTTAACCAAGCAACTAAACATTTCAAACAATCAAACATGCATCTTTTCAACCATACTCAACACAACATATATCAGCCTCATCTATTTT